GTCAATTTTATACGGATTGTCATTAATCGTCTTGAATTGTTAACATTCACTTTATTTAAATAATGTATTAATTCATTTGTTGACCACTGAACGAAAATGTGGAACGTTCGAGTGTAATGTTGGAGTTTCAGGTCTTGAATTGTGCCGTTCCATTGAATGCCGGCGAATCTTTGACAACAGCTAGTATCTGCCTGGTCTGTAAACCACTTACCTTAAGAATTTCAAGAGATTTTTGTCGTGGTGTTTATACGAATACTTGTGATGTCTGTCTGATATAAGAACTGTACAACTTTTCCTGTGATGATTTGGAAAACAATAACGACAATTGAACAGCTCGATAAAAGCCGTCACATTACATCGAGTACATCGGTATTCGGCCGCAAACCAGAATTCGGCACCCACCCCACCCCCATCAAATAATAAATCTACTGAAGAATGATTATGCAAACCTGTATCCTTTGTTAATTCCTGAGCTGAGCTCTGATTGGCTCGCTGCTCCCTAAGGATTTTGGTGACGTCATATATTAGCATAGAACTTCACCGAATAGACTACCCCAATTAGATATTAGATATCTATAAGTGTCTTCATAGTACGATGGTCTAAGAGGGTAGCTAAAGGTATGCTCTAGTGGGCGGCTACCCCCTCACTCCCTGGCCTTTTGGTTAAGACTAAGTTTTATGTTCACTCGGGATAGCGTGGAAGAGCCGAAATCTCTAACCGTAACGTAAGCCGATTCGACGCCTCAGCTTCATAGAATGTCTCGGGGGAATCGTCCCATTTTTTTTAGTTTTTTATTTTCATTATTATTATGTATGCCAGGGGGGGGTACATCCTCTACTGAAGCGAAAGTCCTGAGTTCAAATCCTACTGCTGGAATTTCTCTATTTTTTCTTGTTTATTATTTCTTTTTCTTTTGTTTCCTGTTTTCTTTTCTTCTTTTATTTTTTTTTTCTTGTTCTTTCATTCTTTTTCTTTGCTGTTGTTTTTTTTTCCTCTTTAGATTTTCTCTTTTCAACTTTTAACATATGAAGGACTCGCAAGGAACGCCTTCTACAAGTGGATTTGCGGTCGGTCACTCAACAGCTTGACATAGTGACTAGAAGCCCCATAAGGCCTTTCGTCACAAAAATCTAAAACACCACCGCATTGAATGCTGCAGGTGGGCCATGCCCTTTAATCTTAAGTTCACAAAATCGGCTTAAAACCCAATCAAAAAATACATTTTCTAAAAACCAAAGAAAACATTCATGTATTTAAAAATTTTAACAAGGCCTTCCACAAAATTTCACTGACGTTAAGTGCTCAAAACAAGGCAATATATGCTAGCGATCATGGTTTGTCCTTTCCATTTAAACAGCTGAAGTAAGCATTTAGTCAGCGTTGTCTGAATGTCTAGAACGTATTTGACTTATATTGAGCTTAGAACAAAAGTCCTTTGATAGGTGTTAGAGATTTYAGTCATTGCTTCGACAAATAACACGACATTGACCCAACACCCGAATTCAACACAGCTCGAGCAAGCTAGAATTGAGGAACTGGCATCATAATGAACTGGTTTTTCTGTTTGKTGGCACTTCTGATCATACCTAACACAAATTGCCATGAGGTAAACCTTGTGAATGTCTGMGAGAGTTTCATGCCATTATCATGATCATAGCTAGTACTTATGAGTATAGGAGGGCTGTACGGGAGAATATTTGGCTCAAGGTATTAGAGCCGAGCGCAGTGCGGCTTAATATTTTTCAAATTTATTATTCTGATTCTCAGATCTGTCAGCGTGGTCCACCCGGAATGCCGGGAAAAAACGGAATTCCAGGAAACAATGGAATTCCAGGGACACCAGGGCGTGATGGCCGTGATGGTGTTGGGATTCCTGGCGCGTCAGGACAGAAAGGTGACCAAGGTCTTCCCGGATCTCCAGGAGAGTCTTTGAATCTAAACTGGAAACAATGTACATGGAGAAAAGGTGATCAAAGAGACAATGGACTTATAAAGGTGAGATACAAAATTACTTTGTTTTTTAGATTTAGCTCTTTTGAAATCGTGGCGGGGGAAGGAGGGGGGACCCAATATGATGCTCGTACATACACTATAGAAAGACGTCATGATTATTGATTACCTAGCAAAAGGCAAACTTGCGCTGCATACAAAGTCTCCCGGAGAAAAAGGAAAAGAGATCGATTTTCGAGGAGGCATGGTAATCCTACACTTGCTAGTTGAATCGACCTATCTTCACTAACATACTACTAAAGGTTTGACGAAAATCATTTGTTATATTATCCTCAGGAATGCATTTTTAAGAAAAAGCTACAGAGGACAGCTCTTCGCGTATTTTTTGCTGGAGCTTTCAGAATCAATGGCTGCAAGCCATGCTGCAAGAGGTGGTACTTCACGTTCAACGCACGGTGCTGAATGCAATGGACCTCTTCCAATTGACGCTGTTCTGTACATGAGCATCAATAACGATATCCATCGTCACCGGCACCTCGAAGGCTTCTGTACTAACATCCCGGCTGGACAAGTGCGGGTTGGATTCTGGGTAGGGAACTGTCACGGTTTTGGCAACGCCGATGCCTATACTGGATGGAACTCCGTGTCAAGGATTGTGGTCGAAGAAGTTCCTCCACAACAATCAGGATAAGATTTCTCTGCTATGGTCGGTCTTTCACCGACAACAAAAACTATATGAAATAGGAGTTGTAGAATAATTGGTTAAAATGAAAGCAGCATTGATGCTCCATGGATTAAAGATAATAATAAACTTTTGAAAGTATATTACATGTGCCCTTTTATTTGATATGCGCTTAGTAGACCACCAATGTCATTGGCATTTCCAATTAAATCAGTGTTACCAAATGCCTTCCCAAATACCAAAAATTGTTCACATATCACATCAATTTGAATTTTAGCAATAAAAAATATTAATTTATTTATTTGAGACTAGGAGAGGCATATTTTGAGCAATAATTAATGAGTCTAGCTTCCTTTATRCACTACTCCACAGGAAATTGACATATTTCGGCTCTTTTAGTCTTCCTGCGTTGATAATCTTGCAACTGGTGTGACACAGGAATCCCACTTTAGTAGAGTATTGCATAAAGGAAGGTAAAAAATGTAACTTGTGCAATTGAAATTTTTCWTTTAAAGAACCTACAAATATAGTCTAATTAATTATTTTAAAAAAATAAGATAAATATCAAGCATTGAATTAATACCTAACTAGGACTAAAGCATTTTAATGCTTTTAATGCTATTTAATGCATTTTAATGCTTTTTAAAGCATTTTAAGAAAATAGAAAATTTTGTTATACGAAAATTGTACATAATATTTTTCATTCATTTAAGAAAATTTCAAAAATAGTAATCTGACCTTTGACACCTAAAGAAAATAATTTTTTTACTCCATACTTGGAATCATATTGGCATTGTGTGAAGCCACAGGGAGAATTTTGCTTATAGGAACTCTACAATAATGCCAAATCCTGGTTATAATGCACCTCCAACCTTCTTAAAGCTGGTTTCATAACACTACAATTTACCAATATTCATTTCTAGTTCTCACCAACAACCTCCTTCAAAATGGCAGTAAACAGCCTTGTTGGCAGTGTAGTTATATTCTGTGCACAGCYTTGCTGGTAGTATAGCAGCTAAATGTTGTACACAGCCTTGGTGTTGACTCTAGCAGCCTCCAAGACCTCGTCAATGGGAACCTTTTTAATCTCCGCAATCTTCTTAGCAACATATATCACCATACCAGGATGGCTCCACTTGTTACCCTTAGCAACATCAACTGGTACAAAATAAGGAGCATCTGTTTCCAATAGCAACCGATCTAGTGGCAAATCAAATGCAAGTTCATGGGCATCAATAGCTTTTGAGAATGTCACAACCCCTGTTATCCCTATATAAAGGTTTCGAAATGTTTCAATAAACTTTAAAGCAGATTTGCTAGAACCAGTAAAGCAATGCATGTGTATTTTCATATCTTGTGGCACATTCTGTTGAAGTATCCTTAGCGTGTCATCTTCAGCTCCTCGGCAGTGTACAACAAGAGGTTTATTCAACGTCACAGCCCATTTTACTTGCTTGGCAAAAACATCCTGTTGAATTTCTGCTTTTGAAGGTGAACGCTTGGAGTAATCTAACCCTATTTCTCCTAAAGCTACTGCTTTGGGATGCTCCAGACATTGAATGATCTTAGCTTCAAGTGATTCATTATAATATTGAGCATTATGGGGATGACAGCCAAATGTACCCCACACATTACGCTGTGATAGAAGCTCTTCCCAAAGACCAAAGCTTGAGAAAGCTGCAGGATCGCAAAACGTTGTAATACAGCCCTCAAAGAAGTCAGGGAAGCGATGTTTAGTTTTGAAATCTTCATAAGTCCCTGAGTGTCTCATTCTCTCAAACACGTACTCCAAATGGCAGTGTGTATCTATAAACTTAGTATTACATTCTGGGTAATATATTGGTTTATGTTGCTGTGCAGACGCTTGTTCGGTTGCAAATAAGCTTGAATTACCAGCGTGAGTTGTGCAGTCTTTCAAAAAATGCCCATGTCTTCCACAACCAAAGCATTTGATATTTTTGCCGGATCTGTCATCAGAAGGGCAATTTCTCTTGAGATGGCCTGGTTTTCCACACTTAAAGCACTTTCTTTCTTCCATGCTCATAGAAAACGACCAAATTTAGAAACGATTTTAAGTCATTGAAACTCAAATGAAAGTGAAAGAAAAAATATTTCAAACGTACCAGTCAGCGGCTTTACCCTTGCGCATGCTTTTTGGACATTAGAATCCAAGATGGCGACCTCCTTGGAATCGTATGTAAACCGTATCCTTTGGACCGTTTTCGCYAAATGTATRTCTTGATAACAAATATTTCTAGTAGCTATTAACTCTAATTTGTATTCTGTATCTTTTTCATCCAAAGATTTTGAGATATAATGTTATTCCATGGCAAAGGGGCTGAAATAATCTTCAGCATGCTCGCGCAAACATCGTGGTCTGCTWATGTTTTACGCTCTAAAAACTAGAATTATAGAGTACACCTTGATATTTATCCTTGACTATTGTTTTCAAGATACTGTAGCTGTCATAACGCAGGATGGACGAATGATTGTGGTAACACATGCGTGATTTAGTGATTTTATATCCACTATCCAATTTCACTAGAACAGCTCTTTCTTTGCGAGCTCAAATATATATAATTTATTTATTATAAACAGCACTGACACAAAGAAAGATGATCAGTGAGTTTGCAATGATGGGTATTTGTAAATGATTGTCCATGTGTGTGGGCAAATGGTTCAGTCACTGCAAACTCATATGGCATCTTGCTTCTAACACAATGGCAATGTCACATTCAAGGTGGTTGAGGGAACAATTAAGGAGACTTTTAATATCAGATGTGCTTAACTTTTTTCYATGCTTCTTTGAAGCTGCTCACATTTTTTCCCCATACGAACACTACAACTCAATTCATCTTCACAATACGTCACATCGGCCATCTTGGATGAACTTCAACAAAGGATTCCTCATTAGTATCTATTGTTGGTTCATCCAGCATGGCCGTCGGTCTATTATCTTTTGAATATTATAAGAATGCATGCCTACTGTGGTCCACACATCTTATACATGTAATACTTTGGTATATTTGCATGTATTAAGATTTGATTCTTTTATGTCAGGGTACCCTTAAAGGCTTTGACCAAACAGTTAATATTATACTCGACGAGAGCCATGAAAGAGTCTTCTCATCTGGAAGTGGAGTGGAGCAAGTTTTACTTGGTCTTTATATAATACGTGGAGATAACATGTAAGTCATATAACTATTACCGGCTAAAACCTAGTTAGTTGATTCACAGATACTGTAGGTATATAGAGTCCATTTCGTGTGAGTGGGAAACGTACGGTAGAAATTACCGCACGGTTACCGCACAGTTACCAGACCTGGCCCGCACAATTTTTGTGAACCAATGAGACACTAGAATTTGGTTACAGTACGATTACGGTCACAGCACAGTACTGTCCATTTCCCACTCATACGAAATCCGCTCAATGCCGAACACTGCAATAATAACATTACAACATCTACATGTACCAGTTTTAGATCCAGAACATTAAAAAGGGGGATGGCTAATGCATGTAAAATTATTAAGTGAATATATTTAGGGATGCAAACAATTTCTTTCAGATGAATGCCGCTTTAAGTTGGCTTTCAGAATGATTTCCATTCAGATTTCATTTCTTTTTTATATATTTATATCTTAATTTCTATTTCTACATAAAATACTGAGCTAAACACTTTGAATATGATCCATTGATTTTTATTTCTATATTTTATAGATGTCTATTTCAATTAAATACTGTCTGATGAGTGCGTAGCACCAAACTCGGAGTTACAGCAAAATCTTGCCTCTTTGATATCATATATATAACTAGCTCTACACTTTATGTGTATTGAGCACTCTTTAATGGGATCAGCTACTTCCTCATACAATTAGATGTCTATTTCTATATTTTTGGGTCCTAAAAGGGGGAGGGGGGACCATCCTCCCTAATCACTCATCATGGATCCTGACTTGAATGAATGTTTGTAAAATTGTGATATTTCTAATCATCATGACATTGATACAATTATCTATTCCTATCCAGTGCTGTTATAGGTGAGATTGACGAAGAAGTGGATGCATCTATGGATCTATCAGAYATAAGAGCAGACCCCCTGAACTCTGTTGTGTATTAAGCAATGTTATATTATGTATATAAATACAGTAACTTAGTAAAGTGCACTTCTCTGGGAAGATTTTTTTTCTTACTGTATTTAGGATAATCATCAAGGTGTTTCTCAATATTTTCTTTCACTCTGGTGAATACCTCAGTAAAATGAGACTTCATCCATTAAAGCAAGATTTTTTAACATCAGAAGTCTTAAGTACAAATTGTTGGAAATTTCAACTATTTTAAAATAGTAAAAAACGCACTGACTAAGAATGTGGAACTGCTGAAATATTAAGTTTTAAACCTTTGATTTGTCTAGATGAAATGATACTTTGTTGCGCATGTAATAGATTTCAATAATAGTTATAAAAGGACGTAGCAGTAGAATTTGATATAGTATTTTTGAGAACAAAACAACAGGCTTCAATTTTGACATGTTTTTACTATCTGAGGAAGGTGATTGATTGCCGAAACATGTCAAAATTGAAGGCTGTTGTTTTCTTAAAAATACTATATCAAATTTCAATAATACATTGTAATAGTTATGTTGGACTTTATTATAGTATCATTTGTCATTGTACATTTTGCTCATAAAGTCAGCACACTTTTGTTTTCTAAATTTCTTTACATAAATAAATCTAAGTTATATACTTTGATTGTCTCCACTGCCACAGCTACATCGTATAGAGCGGATTTCGTACGAGTGGGAAACGGACGGAACTTTACTGTGACCGTAATCGTACTGTAACCAAATTCTAGTGCCCCATTGGTTCACAAAAATTGTGCAGGCCAGGTGCGGTAACTGTGCGGYAACCGTGCGGTAACGGTGTCCCACTCATACGAAATCCGCTCTATAAAGACAACTACAAAACTACAATTACATCGTTTATACAGTAATTATTTCTCATAATGTGCAGCCAGCTTATTGTAAATATATGCATGTGTAATGAAACTTTTAGAAAAAATTAATTGGTTTTAGTGAATTTTCTCTTAGTTTCTTGATTTGATAAACTGTTAGGGTTACTTATCAGAGTGTGACTCTGAGCTGTTGAAACAGTACGAAATCTCGATAAACAAAGCAGCAGTCATCGCAACAACTGTTAAATGTGAACTACACTGCATTGGCATGCGTTCTGTACGTACAAAGCGTTTATTRCCCGCATATTATCAGCATTGCAATGTAGTTTTCATTGAATGCAGTTGGAACCTCAGTAGAACTCGACTGATGCAAAACAACAATGCAACACCTGAAAAAGTGCAATTGAACACGTACTGTACGGTTTGAGTACAAACCTTTCTTAGCTGAACAAACTCCAAACATTGCAACAACAACAAGTGACACGAAATATTGACACTGTCACCTCTGCACTGACGGAATAGTTGCACAGAAAACCATATGGTTTGAAAGCTGTCCAAATATGCCAATCATCAAAAATAGCCAATCATGGTGAACCATTTGTGTGATTGACAACTTCAGAAAGATTCAGATCCAATATATCGCGTTACAAGGGTCTTCAGAGTGGAYACGCACTAAATTCTTTACGGCTGCAGAGTTTCTTGTAAAATCGAAAAAGATGTATGTACAAGTCGTTGTGATGTTATGCTGCGTTAGTGCAACGCTGATTGAAGGTATACATTTTTGTCTATATACACTTAATGCTTGATCATATCAATTGAAATCATATTTTATTCGTCAGTTAAAACGTCGCACCTAACTTAATTCGTTAAGACATTTAAATATTTAGTGCCAAATGGTACTTTTAATTCATGGTAAAAGCACTGCGATTTTTTAAATGCCATCAGCAGTAAATTTACGTAATATCAATTTACAATTTAGTGCTAAAGAAGTAGGGCAAAAGTTTCTCTCCTAAAGTCAAAAATTTAGCTTTGCGTTTGACGCAGGCCTAACAGATAACACTTATATTTATTTAGTTTTTTTAAATCGTGAAAGTCGGGTTGCAATGAATATAGGGGTGGGTATTGGGTGCAAAATTGCAACTTTAAGGGGTATATTCACGTGTTTACTTATAYAGCAATAATTGTTTTTAGGGTGCGGCAATCGTCCTGCTGGAGCTCGAGTTGTTGCGGGTGATAATGCGGTCCCTAATTCATGGCCATGGCAAATCTCCCTTCAAAGGAAGAGCCCGTATAATTCTTGGTTCCATACATGTGGTGGYTCTCTKATTTCACCTGAGTACATAGTAACCGCTGCTCACTGTGTSATGTCRGAATCGCGACCAGAACAGTACAGAGTAGTCGTAGGTATGAAACACGGTTGTTGTTGTTYTGGTTCGTTTGATAAGACCRAAAGGAATTGCGGATAGAGTGTAATTTCGTTAAAAATGAAAACCACRTTTTTTTTTTGTCTGATCTTTGTTTGAGGATCTTGGCTATAACTAATTTTAAAGAAATAACTGCAAAACAGATGTGCGTATTTAAATGTARTATTTGGTGTGATATAAAATCAAAGGCGCGCATTGTACATCATTTTGTATTTTTGGTGATTTCGTGTCTTTTTACAGGCGAACATGACCGAAAAAAGAATGACGGAGAGGTGAACATTGGTGTCCACTCGATTCATTCCCACGAAGGGTTCAGTATGAAACACCTTAAGAATGACATAGCATTGATCCGCCTTAATAAGCCAGTTATCTTGAATGATCGTGTTGGTACAGTTTGCTTGCCTGCTAAGGACTCAAAGGTTGCTGTTGGAAAGAAGTGCTTTATTACTGGTAAGTTGAGTTTCAAACYTTGCTAAAGCTATATATCATATCAGACTCGTCACCAGCCGCTTCTCTCGAACGGCGCGCAATGCATGAAGGGAAGCCCTAAGGAAAAACTTTTTTCGCTCCTTCCCATCAACCCCTTCGAGCGTATCGAAAAATAAAGCGTAACGACTGGGTACGGGTCTGATATCGTTATAACCTAGCCATAGAAGGGTGAGCTTAAGGTCCCGTGTTACATTAAGGTATTAATGAGGCCGCTAGTAGTCTCCTGTGCAGCCTTCCATTTTGACGGAGGCACAGGAAGCCCGACAATAGGGTAAGCTGTGAAGGACACTAGGGCGCTAGCTAATTTACCAACATGGCGCGCGGCTAGGAGACTGTGCAGCGGTTGTGTGAAACAAAAATTAAATGACGTCCAACTGGTTTTAATAAGAGTTAATTGCACTATATGCCGAATGAAACCTAATTATCTATCGGTTAAAATTTATCAAAAAACCCTAGGAAGGGCGTAACTTCAATCACCTTCGCACAACGAAGGCGTTCAAGATGACGTTCATGATGTTTGTTCCCTGAACTCAATATCTTTCACTAAAAATGTATATTTTATTTAAGGTTGGGGTCGAACAGTCGGTGGAGGTAAAACAGCTACAATTCTCCAACAAGCTGAAATGCCCGTCAGCTCTCATGCAGATTGCGCTAAGGCAAACAAAGCAATYGCTCCGGTGGACGAAAAGTCAATGGTCTGCGCTGGTTATGCAAAACAGGGAGTCCACATCAGTGGTTGCCAAGGTGACAGTGGGGGACCATTTGTTTGTGAAGAAAATGGAAAATGGGTTCTTCGTGGAGCGGTGAGCTGGGGGAATCCCAAATGTTTAGCTGAGAGCACCTATACTGTTTTCGCACGTGTCAGTTCTTACATCGATTGGATTAACGAGAAGACAAGCTCAGGGGGTAAGTACTTAAGGATCGGACTAAAATAAGCCAAACAATGATAGGACTTTGCCTGAAGGTATAACTCATGGATTAGATTGTGGAGGGAAATGCCTGGTGATGAGATCAGAGCGATAACTCACGCATAAGACTCAATATGTATATATGTTATTTGCAATAATTCTGCCCACCTACGCTATTATTCATATATGTCAAAGTAGCCTTAGAAATTATGGGATACCATCATTGCTGATATATCTTTTTAGAAAGTACTTATTCTGGACCACTGTGGACAACTAAAAAAATATATCAGTCATGATATCTCATAATTTCTAAGGTCGGCTGTTTTGATATATATAAATATTAGTGTAGGTGGGTCAGAGTTATATTGCAAACAGCAGTACATTTTGAATCTCATGAATGTGTGCGCTCTTTTTCTGAGCACTTTTTCGTGGGTTTTCCGTAAGGCTTTTCCTAGATTCTTTGTTTTCATGTTGGTTGGTTGCTTAGTTTACGTATTCATAAAGAGCTAGTGGCGCGTGAAAAAACACTCAGTTTGCTAAAGAATACAAAAGTGCCGAAACGTTCTAATAAAACAGAAATATAAAGCTACACGTTTTTGTTCCTGCATTATTCTACTTATATACTGTGTATA